GATACGCCACTGGCTCTGGCGTTTGATCTATTCTTAGCAATATAACCTTCCATTTGCTTTCTATTTTCATATTGTCTCTTCTTTTTCCTTTAGATTTGGCCTTAGTTAAATTACTTTTCCTTTCTCTACTTACCTTTCTTACTACTAACAAAGCAACAATTATACTTAGGACTAAAACTACAAACAAGTACAATGACATTAAGTACGGAAGAAACATGTAGGTACTAAAATCAGTACTACAGATAAATGTCATTGTAAACACAACACTTATCTTTTTTTATCAAATGAGGCACTAACAGTAGTATCTAGATATTATATATGAAGTGCAGCTTACAAAATTTCTACAAATAACAGAGCCGCTCAATTTGAAGTCACTCTAATTTCAGGAAGAATTAAAATTTTATTTTACTTACCTATTAGTATAGCTCTTAAAAGAACTGGTGATGGTTTACTCTGCGCACTCTTTACTAGCAAGCAGAACAAGAGAATGAATAAAGGAATATTCAGCAGTACTGTGCTATGGTAGAGTAGACTGGCAGTCAGACTAGTTACTATGGCAACTCTGCGCATGTGTAAAATTTTAAAATGGCGACTGAAATAAGGGTGTGTTATATCATGCCCATTATTACTTCTTATTTGACCAAGAAATAAATTAAGATTCTGAAACTACCTTTGTAGCCATTGTTTAATGAGTAAAGGAATGGTGTAAAAGCCAGCCAAAGCAGTGTACTGGCTTAAAAGATTACAGGGCCGATAGAAGGAGGTGAATAAAGAAAATGTCTGACGAATTTTGCAGAAATTTGAATTTGGGCCTATTCTCTAGAATTGCTCCTGCTACATTACAGTCCACTTTAAAGGTACTGGGAGAATTGCTCAGTGAAGAAGAGCTGAGATAAGCCATTTATGAGGTTTTATATGGTAAGATAAGAAGTGTTTGAAAATGATAAATTTGGCCGCAATTTTGAAAAATCAACCTCAACCCAACATATAGGCTACCACCTATATAATATTTGTCATATTAGTTAGTGAATTAATTATTAGAACTTACTGTGAATGATAAAGTATTTATGATGCAATCCTTTAAGGGCCTGCAGCAGGCAAAGCATGGTTTAGGCAGTCGATAACGAACTACTTTAGAAGAGAATGTTAGTTCGACTTTCCTTTATAAAGTTAGATTGAGGTTGTGAAGGATGTATCATGGAGAGCTCGTCCATAGCTGTCTAAAAGAAATAGAATTTGTCAACTTTGTGATTCGAATTTGAGGGTACGGGGATACAGTCGTATCTTGAAGATGATGATAATGTGAAATTGATGGTGTCATTTGATGATTGAGGTTTTCAGAAAATTGAAAGCAAGTCTAAATTGAAAGAGTCTAAAAACCATAATGCTTTCTTAGATGCTTCTTTAATTGCCATTAATTTTCTCCTTTTCTGCCTTTAACCCACTTCATTTTATGTTTTACCAGAATATTTATATTTATTCTTTGAAAATGCTTTCTTTCTCTTGCAGATCAAGCCAACTTGTATTTAGGAGTTGATAATAAATTACTTCAATTCATAACCTGTTTTCTGTAGAGAAGAAACTGTTTCACTGATAAATGCTATATCAACAGTGTCACTTCATTTAAAATGAAGAAAAATCGACTTTTTGAGTATTGATTTTCTTCTCCTTGATTGTGAGAAATGACTCAAACTGCTAATTAGACTCCTTCCTCTTATTTGCAGCTTAATTTCTAAATATGCAGCTCCAGAAAGATCTTCTGAAAGCAGTGGTGTTACAGCCTGACTCTAAGAATGCCTGTATCATTCATGTTTTAAGCCATATTTTTTCTTTGTATACTCACCAGTGATAGAGCAACTTATTTGGTACCTCCAAACAGCAAACTACTTCCTCTGTGCTAGGTCTGCACTTATTGGCTGCTGTATGTCATAGTATTGGTTTTAAATTCAAGATTTCCCACGCAGCTGCAGCAATAATTACAAACTTATGAAGAATAGTTCTAAAACTTGAGACGCTGGTGGAACTGGATTATCTTTCATTATTCAAACAACACTACCTATATTGGAGCAGAGACATTGTCCTACAGGAGATATAGTTATTTGAAGTCTATTGCTAAGTTTACAAGTAACTGAAGTATCACTTCTTTCTGATTATCAAGGTCTTTCAATGTCTTGACACAGAAGTCAATGGGTAGCCACCACGTTAGTTTACTGAAAGTAGTGGACGAAATACGGACCAATGACTTAAAATTTCAGGACATGTACGCCCTGTGCTACCCAATGACGATGATTATCTTATTGGAATTGCAATTGATACAGTATCACGTAATCTCATCTGACAATAATATGTATGAAATATTACTAAAACAGGGATTATCAGCATTAAGTAAACATGATTAAATATAGGCAGTGAATGATTGTGTACATTAATGCAAGCATTATAATGCTGTTGCAATACATGTACTTGACTCACATCCACCAATGATACACCTTACAGGGATATAATAGACTAAGTAACCGGGATTGGTTTCGGAGCGGATATCAATTTATAGACCAGTAACAAATTTAAATTAATTATTCATAGTTTTGGTATAATAACCGATTCTGCTCTGTACAATGGCCTTACTACACTGATGTGTAAAAATTGTGTAAAAATCAAACAAAGACTAGAATAACAAATAGCCAGTACATTCTCATACAACAATCACTGAGTTATTATATTACAAAGAGAGTCATATCTGAATCCGCCACTGGTACACAAAACTGGCCTTCGAAAAAGTACTTTCTGGCTGTATCATGAAATGGAAAGGTCTAAGTAAGTTCTTTTGGTCCTATTCTCACATGAACATAAAAGATGGTAAATCACAATATGATTGAATCCATATACTCCAAGCTATCTTGCCAGCAGAGAAACACAAGTGAAATCATGGGCCGCCCTTGGCAATTCATTGTGACAGCATTGTCAATATCACTGAAAAAAAAATACATGGCTTCCTTATCCCTTAGTAATGGACGTATAATGTTTTGAGAGACACAAACCTTTTTGACAGAGAAATAGCAACATTAGTGATTTGCCAGAAGAGTTGGCCATCTTGAAAATGATAACAGAGATTGCAAAAAATGTTTCTACACAAATGATGCGCTCACGTGATCCCATTGCCAATCCCAGTTACGTAGTCTATTATATCCCTGGTAGCACAGACGTTTATATGTAGAGCATACGCTGGTTGGAGATAGTTGTATCTCTTTCAAATTTTTTGAGGTCTTTTCTAGATTTTGTTGCTGACGTTCTTCATCCAGTGAGGGAGCTGGAGGTAGCTGATCAGCCACTGTCTCTCTACAATATTCTCTCATTATTTGATTACATTGAGCTCCTTGCCCTTCAGAATTTGAGGCTCTTCTATCACGATCTCATTTACACGAAGATCTAAGATAGTTTCTTCTCCTTCAGCTTCTGATTCACTGGCACATCATTGCTGTGATCTTTCACTTAAGTCAGAAGACGTTCCTGTCTTTGAGCCTCTGATATATTGTTAATTCTTTGCTGACTTCTTTGCTTTTAATCACTTAGACGTGCTTCTCTGTTATCTGCTGATTTAATAAGTGTAGATCTAGCCTTCTGGGCTTATTCCCAGATCTTGCTCATTCTTTTGGCCTTTTTTTCTTGAGATTCTTTAGATCTGTTTTCCCTTTGCTTTCTTTGAAATAATCAAGACGTCTCTTTATAGTACTACCAACGTCTTGCAATGGTACACAATACTTTATTGGGGGGCCATAGAAAGAATGTATGATGTCTCTCCTCTTTTGCTTCTTATGTGACAATACTGTTGTAGTGTGTGCATGTTGTTGATGGTGGATTCGAGAGGTAAAACTTGCTTTTTCTTAGCTACCACTTCTGGTAAGGAGGCTTACATTTTCTAAACTGAAGTATATTTTGAAACTGAGTGCCTTACATCGGTTGCTTAGTGATATAGGCTAATAATAATAATTAAGGAGTGGCCTAATTTAATTACATAATTACTATGGACTACTGTATACCTATTAATTAAGGTACAACAGGCTGAATGCACAATTTAGTTTTCGGAACACAAATTGTTTCCTTTATACATTTTCTACAACATATAATTTTTTCAAATTTTTTCTCAATAGTGAGATGCAATAAACTTTACTTAACTTTTTAAAATGGTTGAAAACTGAGTAAAGAATTCTTGAACATATTGAGAGTACTTTAATTTTTAGTAATATGATTGTTTTTATAACATTATTTTCTATTGACGTATGCTCCATCACTTGGCAAAAGTTCTTCAAGTTTTGCAAAATGGGCTGCAATCTCTCATAGAGTTTTGTTCACTTTCAAACATCAGTGTATCACAAAAGCATTTACTGCATACTAACTTGATTGAGTGTTTGCCTTCATTATACCACGATTACAAGCTTTACAGCTTCGTAGAGCCTGCATTCACCAGATGAAACAGCTAAATAAACAATAGTCAGGAAGTACATACTGGTGGCCATTTTTATTAATGGTTTGACTAATATGACGTCATAACTTAACCCCACCTTGCAATTAATATTTCCCGCCAGTTTTATAATATACAGAGGTATCCAGAAATGACACAAGATCAAAGATGGCGTATTATTTCTAAGGAAGACGAAGTGAATCTTTTTTTTTCTTAATATCTCTGCTGTTGCTAACATTCTCAGTAAGCTATGAAAAATTATTTTATAAAGAGACAATTTTAATAATAATATTTCAGAAGTGTTTGCAATTAGCCTCACAGTTTAATGTGCTTATTTCATTTTGCTTGCCACTCTGGTAATTATTTGTTATGCTTGCGCAGCCTGTTCAAGAGATTGTTTAATTGCAAAATAATTTTTAATATTAAAAATACAATAATGCAAAAAAAAATAAACAGCATCGTTCTGTTCCACTGGAAATGATCCAATCATAAAGTCATAATGATAATCAGCTCAAATTCCGCATGAATTACTTTTCAATGACTGTGATCAAGTCTAACCTACAGAGAGTGATGTACAATGGTTACTTTAACCTTAATTAATTCAAAAATTGATTTTATTATTACAATTATACATTCCAATGAAGTTATTCCCTTGCTCCATCGTTCACAGAGGCACCTAAAAAACCAGAAGATGATAAAAGTGGCCCAATACAAAACAATCTATATTTTTATGACAAAATATCAACATGGTTGTACTAATTGACTTAGAAAAGCCATCATCAATCTTTCAGATTTCATTCTTCCATATGTATTCAACTGAATGTAACAACATTGTTTTCAAATTGAGATTTTTTGTACAATTGAATGAAATCATGCACCATCATCACACAAATCCAGATAAAAAAGCAAATAGATAACAAAAAGAGCGGAGCAGTTATACAAAGTAGACAGTATGGACAAATATTGTACAAGTATTGTGTATTATTATTGTTACTTATGTCAATACAACTATTACGCAAATTTCTAGATATTGGGGAAATAATAAAACTACAAAAAACCAGAAATAGTGGTTTATTATTATTTAACTATCAATTATCCTAGAATGAACGACAAAATTTATTGTTGTTCATAAGTGTGTGTGTGCAAAAACATTTTTATAGGAGGAGTACTTAACAAGCTAGCATTATAGGAAACATACACATATCCATTAATGGCTATAACTTAAACTTAAATAGAGCATTGAAAGAATCAGAACTATACAACATGCAAAATGGTTTTTGAATTGAGCTACAATAGCTTCGTGGCGATTGTTTCATAGCACTGATGATTGTATAAAATCAGTTTCATTAGTCGCAAGTCATAATTCTATATTGTATTTGCTGCATTGATAAGGTTTTAGTTGTGATATCTACACTCCTAGTTTATTTATTTTGATACATGCATGTTACCATGTACAACTTTACACGAGTTGCGTTTTTTCTCCATTTGTAGTAAGTTCATGACAGGTACAATAGTCACATTTCTGTAGCACAGTGCATTTCTACTTATTCATTTATGTTTATTTACATGTATTAATAGAATGCGACATGCATCATGGTAAACTTTGAGTTTTGCCTTGTGAGCATTTTTACAAGCATCAGTCCACCTTTTTCAGTGTGTCTAGCTACATGTAGATTTACGTGTATCAAACTTAGTGTTATATAATGTGTGTACCTGAATAGGTCCGTAAAAACTTGGTTGTGAGTACAACTTCTACAAGTTGACTAGCTCTACAAACTTTTGTTTTTAAGTTACTGTATTTTTCCATGAGGTTGTAATAATAAAGTGTTTATAATTTTAATTTTCAACAATATTTATTGTTGTTAATTCATTATTATTGTAAACAAGTTCTCAATGCCTGTACACTACAAATTAGACCAACAGAGTGGACCAGGAAGGCACATAAGTATACATTAGATTTTTAACAAAAAAAAACTACAACTAAAGCAGCTAACCAGCATGCTAAGAGCAAAAGACATGCCTACATGTATGTAACATAATGACTATGGTATAACTAACCAAAGACATACCTACACATATGTACATGTAACAATATGACTTTGATATAACTTCATTGTCCTAACAGTACTTAAAATGACTTAAAATTGACTTAAAATGACATCATCAATATATCCCATTTCATTCTTACAAATCTCCAGCTTAAGGTAAGAACACTGTTTTCAAATTAAGATTTTTCACACTTTAAGGGAATCATGCACTATTATCAGACATATCCAGATAAAAAAGCAAAAAAGATTTGAAAAAAACAAAAAAAGAGAGCAGAGCAGTCATAAAAAATAGACAATATGGACGAATAATGTACAAGTATAGAATATTATTATCATTATTTAATTTGATGCAACTATTCACTTTAGTAAGCAAATTTCTAGATATTGAGTGAATAAAACTACATAAAACAACAGAAATAGTAGTTTATTATTTTTCTAACTATCATTTATCCTAACATTAAAGACAGAACTCATAGATAAGTGTGTGTGTAAAAAAATTTTTACAGGACAGGTACTTTAACAGCTTGGCATAATAGGAAGCATACATGCATCTAATAAATGTCTATAACTTAAACTTAAAAAGAGCATTGAAAGAATCAAAACTATACAACATGCAAAACAATAAACAATTATATAGTGTCTTGCAAGACTCACCAAATCTGTATATTTTGAGAGGTATTCTACGTTAAAATAGAATTACTTGCTTTACTTTTCATGTAATTAATTTGGCTAACTGCAAGAGCAAGGGACAAATACATTGAATGATAGGTACATACATAATTCATTATGCAACTTAAAGTTCCTCTCATAATTGTAAAGAAATTCACCCAAAAAGTTCAAAAAAATGTATTGTGCATGCCTTTCTCATATTCATCACTTTCATGTATAAGAAGTTATCACAAAGTCTAAAGTTTACAAATACTTCCAGTAATAGATTTTAATCATCAACGATAATTTTGCAAGTAAAAATCTATAACAAAGAAAATTATTGATTGCATTGCTTACTTCCTTACTATGTCTAGGTTGAGTATATTCAAAGATCTTGAGTTGTTACACTAAATAAAGCATATAGAACCCTCAAAACTAATTTCACTTCCACACCCACTAGGACAAAGTATCCTTATAGTATGAGCTACCAAATGTATCCGGCAAACGATACCACCTGAAGAATATAACAACAAGAAGGATGGCATGATAATACATGTAAACTGTGAGTGTAATTATAGTCACACATTTACAAACTTTTCAGAAAACTGCTCTGTCCCTCTAGTAAACATACATGAAAATAGTGACAAGGCCTCCATTTCTCATAATGGAAAAGTTAACTGAAGAGAGAAAGTTTGTTTTGCAATAAAAAAGGAGACTCTTACTTTATAAAGCACAAATAGACTGAGATGGTGAGTGTTTTCCCTTTCCTTAACCGGTATATATGCTCCATTGCTGTAAACTACAGCTTCATAGTAGTACACACATAACTTGTTCTGCAACAGTTTTTGTAGCTAGAAAAAGTGTACAATGATTTGCTTTTAGTCCTATTAACCAATTCTTCAAACTATAGCAGAAAGAAAATGTAATGTAAGTGTCACACCTAGTTATGTATATCAATAAAATGCAAATCAGTTAATCTATGCATGTACATTATAGTCTTCAGACAAAAGCACTGTTACAATGTCCCAAAACCAGTTAAACGAATTTTACAACTTGCAATTTTTTCTCACATACTCAAGTGCAACAGCATGTGGATGTACCCCAGAGTATAAGGAAGAAACTTTTTTAGCAGAAGGTGCCATTAGGTAAAACATATTTGAAAAATAAGACTTCCCAAAAGATGTGCTACAAGTCAAACAACACTAAAATATAACACTACAGAATATAGATGCACATTACAAATACAACCAACAGAAGACTAAAACAAGCAGGTTTTTTTTGTTAGGCAGAAGTACAATACTACCAATGATAAATCAAATACTTTGTTGCATACAGCACCAATTACTATTCTTCACAATACTCCCTAAATGAAAAATGAAGACTATCTATTCAACATATTTTTGGACTTTAAAAGTGAGACAATTTGCATTTATTGTACAATACACTGCATATCATACAATAAATCCCAACCTGGACCACGAGGAGGTAGTCTCACATTCCAGGTCAAAAAACTCACAACTCTGCAATTTTACCTAAGCAGCACATTATAGCAGTAACTCTCTCTCTCATTTGCCACATACAGTTCAAAACACTTGGCATGCTAGTTTATATGTGTGGTTTAGCATGCAGTTTATTTCACTATATTCCCTGTACAACACAACAGCCACCATCACGAAGCATGGCATGGCATGTTGCTTCACTACTAGTGACTGTCAATGTGACACAAAAGCTGCCACACAACATGTGGTACTACTTACATGATTTCACTACTACAATGTAACACTCTGTATAATGCAACAACAACCGCCACCCAAAGCGTGGTACGGCATGTAGCTACATTCAGAGTTTTTGAACCACTCTGTGAAATATATCAACAGCTGCCACCCAAAGCGTGTCACAGCAATTGAGCATAAAGATCTAGTGACTTTCATCACTCTTAGAACTTTAATAAGCTGCCACCCAATACGTGGTACAGCACCAAATAGTTAAAGTCACCCTGTATTCAACTGTCATAATGTCATTACATGTCATGTGGTACATGACCAGTTTATATAGTTAGTATTGTGTGTTTTATTTAAAACATTTCTCACAAACTGCCATTAGCATAATGTGCTGCAAAGGTTTAGGCAAATGTCACAAATGTGGACAGTTTGTCTACAACAGAGAGTGAGAGGGAGTATTCTCATACTCAAGTGGCANAATATGATAAGCATACAATGAGTAATTACAAACAAACAAGATGCAGTTGTACTTTAACCACAAATAATGAAACTAAAATATCTTAAGTAGTAATTGCACTATATTAACGAAAATAGAAGACATGGTATAAAATTCTTTATAACATCAAAGACAAAGATCTTACCATTTTGTATAAAGCTAAAGAAAACTAAACTAAACAATTTCACTCTAAAATAGCAAGGCTAAAATGTCATTACACTGCTTTTAATCAAGTACAGGTATTACTAAATCATAGTGATTACAATTAATGTGGTACAGATACAACATGACTTTCATGAGTGTCACACAAGTTTCGTTAGTGAACCGAGGCACATAAGTATGCCAATCACGGTAATTGGAATATTCTGAAAATACCATAATCTTAACTTGAAACATTGTGGCAGCTGCAAATACCTCATATTCAGTTGACCATGAGGTTTCTAAATAGAGTTTATGTCTGTTTATGTGACTCCTCACTGCTTTTAATGCATCAATATCGTAATAAATTCCTGAACGAACGAGTCTACCAAAGGCAAGAACATTGGCAGGGTCAAGCATGAAGTTAATTAAGGACATACGGACTGCAAAATGATTGTCTTCAGTACCAGTAATGGCTTTTGAAATTGTCCTATAGAAACATGCCCCATCACCGACAATCTCATCCCGAATATGAGGAGCTATTTCTCTGCAAGGAACCTGTTTGACAGCATCAACACATTGAACAACTGCGATACCAGAGAGCTTTGATATAATTGCAACTGCTTTCTGTACCCAATCTCTATTTGTAGAAGGAGGTGGTAACATTTCATGCAAAACCTTTAAAGCACCCTTGGTCTTTTCTTCATCAATTAAACAGTCTGATTCAAGACTGTGAAATGATTTTGTCTCTACTTTTCGACCCACAAAGTCATTGTGAGGAACAGTTACACTATCAACACCAGTCGTTCTGTGGTCTTTCATTTTGAATGGAAAAGGGGTCAGCAAGCACCTTGGTACAAAGAGCTCCAACTTCTTATTTTCAAACAAACTTGGAGTGCATACAGAAGGAGAACCTACTTCTTCAGCCACTGCTAAATGGAAACTTTGCTCTTTTAATTTCGATGGACTTGGTGTCATTGATGGTGAAGGGCACTTACTTAAAGATACCTGTACCTCCCGCATCTTGTGGATAGATGTTGGAGTACTTTTGGATGGAACAGAGGTCAGCGGTACTGAGGAATCCCACTTTTTATTCTGCAACAAAATTGGAGTATGTACAGAAGGAGAACCCACTGTTTCAGCCACTGCTAAATGGGAACTTTGCTTATTCAATTTTGATGGGCCTGGGGTCATCGACGGTGAAGGGCACTTGCTTAAAGATACATGTACCTCCGGCATGTTGTCCACAGAAGTTGGAGTACATGTGGAGTGAAAGCCTACTTTATGAACAGTTGATACAGTGTGTGAAATGTGCACCACAGGAGTACTTTGCCGTAGAATTTGTGGTAGAACAAGAGTATTGGATGGCGAACAGCATTTTGATACAGACATCTCCAACGTTTTACCAAGGATAAAAGATGGAGTGGATACAGTAGCAGAGCCTACTTTTTCAGCAGTTGATGCATTGCATGGGACAATAACACTTCCAAGAGCAGGGGTACTTTGGTCTTTAATTTTTGATAAAACTAATGGAGAAGGGACTTTCGGTGAATTCAGACCCATTTTCTTAAGTGGCGGTGTCCACAAGGCACCAGGAGTGAGTGAGCTGTCCATAGCCCTTTTCCTATATCTTACATTATCAGGGCAATCCCATTTGTGACATGGAAAATTGGGACATGCACAGGATTCAACAACCGTTTTATCACTTAGGGAACATTCAAAGTCATAACAATCATCGTCATATTCAGATACATTGTCATCACTTTTGGATGCATTGATGTCACAGGAGGTATCAATTCCAGTAGCAGTATCACAGGTTCTCCTCAGTGGACAACTCTTGTGGGACGTCCTTCTGTGGTCCGTTGAGCCACATTTGCATTTGTCAATCGAGGCATCTGCAATTACTTCTTCAGTAGATGCATCCCTTCCATAATTGTGATTCATTGCACTCTCTTTTACAAACAATTGCCTGCGTTGATGTTCAAAGACTTTACGCTTTCTCTTATATAGCTTCCTCCTTGCTTTAGCAACATTGGTCTTCTTGCTTTTTATATCAAAAAATCTATCTGCATTCAGCTTCTCCAAGATAGATGGAAGATTCTGAACAACAGGAAGGCACATCCGCTCAAGGATGTCAAGAATCCAGTGGTACTGAGGACCACGTTTTGTAATAAGATAGGTCATGCAACCTTGAATGAGACCTATGTTGGTAGAAACGTGGTAGTGAAGACGTGCAAGGTTCCAATTTTTGGACCTATACCTAACTAGCACATTGTGCGAAGCTTCAACAGGGTTTGTTGTGACTTTACCTATTTCAGGATGTATCAATACATCAGCCAGACCTGCCTTTTCCTGACACTCTAACTTGTAAGCTAGGGTATGAAAAGGACACTTCAAAACTTGGTCACTTTTGTAAGGTTTTCCTTGGCATTTTAAATTGTATTTATCTGTACAAGAACCACAGCTACACACTACTAATGGGTGAAAATCAGACTGGCCACCATCCCATTGGTGTTCATCCTGAAAGTGGTGCAATGCCAAGTTCATTAACTTCTCTGAGAAAGCATTGGGGTCTGTGCCAGCATTCGTAAGGCACATCTGAAATGAGGCTTTGGCTTTTCTAATGAACTTCTCAGTGAGGCAACCACAATGCTTCGCATGCTTTTTCCCCTTGCAGTAGCATTCTACTCTAACACCATCATTAGTTGTCATTTCTTTTAATTTACGCAATTTGTCTAACTTTATAGCATGATTCTTCGCCACATGATTGCCACACCGCAATACCCGACAAAGTGGAAAATGTTTCAAGACAACATTCTCAGATGTGCTGTCTCCGTCTTGAATGTGGCATTCCACATTCATTTGATCCTTGACCATGAGCTTGAATACCTCGTTAGCACCAAAACCTTCTGCTGCTTTTGATGTGCCTTCATATATGTCATCTTGACACAAATTGTCACTTCCCTTTTGACAAATGTGACAATAATACAAAAGAGCACCAGTCAAGTAATTTCTGACAGTGTATGTGCAGTTTCGGCTAAAACTGCCTCTAGTCAGCCAAACCGCATCGCCACAGGTTACAGCCCTCTGCCAGCTCCCTAATTTTTCCTGATCCATATCTTGCATTTCCTTTCTGGCTTCCAAGCAAATGCCATCTTAAATGTCCTTCACATGGTCATACATCTCTTTTAGTGTCCCAAAAAAAACACTGTCGCTGACTGTATGCATTGCAAGGATGTGGTGAAACATTTTCTTATATATGGCATAAGATGCTCTAGAACAAATTGTAGCAACTTGTAAAATCTTAGATACAGCAGCATCACCATTCTCCCTCTGAGATGAGGTTTCAAATTTGACATTGCAGCTACCACAGTTAGTACAGCCAAAAGAGAGTGATGCTGCTCCCCCCAGGCCAGCCAGTTCTATCGAGTTTACTTTCAGTTTACCTTGACAATTGGTCTCCTGGCAAATTGAATATTGTTCCACAAATTTGACCAACTGTGTAGTCTCTGTGACAACCATGCAATTACTGGAAGCATCTATGTGCAAATTACTCTTGCAAGGAGTATCGAGTGTAAATGTGCAATCAGGTTCACCTGGAGTGGGCTTTTCATCTTCAGTGGCACCAAGAACATTGTCCTCTTCCTCAGAAGGTACTGGTTCTTCAGTATGAATCTATAACAAAGAGAATGGAGTGACGGAACACAACACTTGACAGATAAAACTTCCTCAAAACATGAGGTCAAACATGCCCACTTGTTGTGAGAATAATCATTACTTATTCAGTATTAACAAGAGCAGATGATAGTTAGAGAGAGTGTCAAACTGCACTATGCCAGCTGGAATATGACCACGTAGAACTAAGTCACGTGAGACCTGAAGTGTGGGTGTACCTACTAAAAGCACGTGTAGAAGTTTGCATAAGGAACAGTGGAGAACACTTGAAGAAGCTTTAGACATCATACTAGTAAACTTTATAATCCTGCTGAAGCCTGTTATGCAGTACAGCTATTGCAGAGACTCCAAAATGGCCAGTAAACCTTGTTGAGCAAACTAGGCAGCCATTTTTTTCTACTCAGCCACACCCAGTATGCGGGAATGCCCAAAGATGTGCAAGAAAGTTCACACGGTCATATTCCAGCTAGCATAGTGCATTTCGACACTCTCTCTAACTATCATCTACTCTTGGTATTAATGTAATGATAAATTATCTTCGTTAATCAGTGAATAATCCTAGAGGCCCATCATCGAAACATTTATGACAGTAACTCTGCAGCAACGTGGAACTTTTCCCTGACACGCAAGAGCAACTAATGATATTTTATTTTTCCATGTCATATACAGTAGAAGGCGAAAAAAAGATAAGTAGTACACAGGTAGTGCGTAGGTAGTGATTTTACTTCGTTACTCTTCACTGCAATATGCCCAGGAAGTACTGTTGATACCGCCCAGACACATGTTCCATGTAACAAGCGCACATGCACTCTAGAGGCTCTCAAAGGACTTGAGGATGCTTCTCTTGGCTGTCTTTACTCTCCAAGTTCATCTCTACTGCTGCTCTCTGCTTATAAAACGCCGTTGAGGAGGCTCTTTGCTCGATTCACTGTTGAGCTACTGTCCTGCGGCTGACCAAGTGCACTACTGCCACTGATCGGTTTGCACATGCGCAACGAAGGACCAGCGAACTACAGTTTAGAGAAAAAAAAGCTAAGTAACTGCAGCGTCACTACTATTGCACCGCGCAGTAAAGTACCTTCCACTGCGTAGGATTGACCCTTGTGCTGTGCTTGTATTGCACATGCGCAGAGTAGCTGGTGGGCAGGGTAGTCCTTGCCCACTGCACAGCTACCCTGCACAGCTACTATATACTACTCTTCCAAGGCTACTCTACCGTCTACTACTTATACTAAACGGCACTTACTAGCGCTTGTACTCTACTAGTTTCAAAGAATATGGGTCTAAAAAGTAGCCGGATATCAGTAAGTAAAGGTTTTATTACTATGTGTAAGGTTCTTCTTATGTAGGAACGGTGATTCTACTGTGCCGTAGCGACAGACTATGACTGTCACAGTGCAATGGTGATCTGTTATTACGAAGTCTAGGAGTTACAATGCATGTTTGTAGTCATTTCTTTTTCTGACTTTTATTTTTGTTCTGAATTGTAAAACATAATATTTTATGTACATGTAAAGCTTATATTAACCCTGTACTTACTACCCCTTTCAAATTGCAAAAATGCGCGCATTTATCTGGTGGACTAGTGACAATGGTGTACAGCACGTACAAACAACAGAGGATTTCACATTCCTTTTGTAAGTTTTTGAGTAAGTATTTACCACTAATTTTACTGTAGCACTGGATGTCAAAGTCTCAGGTGTGAGCAAACTGATTAAGAAATACATGGAAACTGGTTCAATTACTCAAAGGCCAGGTTTGTCAGTATTAATTCCACTACACTTCTCATTATTTTCACAATATAGGATCTGGAAGACCTTCAAAAGTAACCAGAGAAGTTTTAAAGATAGTATAGGACCAAATGCAAGCTGATGATGAAAGCACTGCTACTCAACTTCAGTAGCTTCTCGTTGAGAAAGGTCATTCACTGTCACTGAAAACAATATTGAAGTCTCGCAATACACTTGGTTGGACATACGGTGGGAGTGCATACTGCCAGATCATTAGAGAACCAAATAAAGAGAAGCGAATGAAATTTGCTCAAGATCAGTTGCAGGAGCACAGGACTACTGGTTTTTCTGATGTACTGTACAGTGATGAGTGTACAATTGAATTCGAATCCCACAGGAGATTTTCATGAAGGAAAATAGGTGCCCCCGAAACCAAAACCAAGGTAGCACTATATTAATATTACATGTACGTTAATGGTATTTTTAAAAAACCTATTATATAGAGCAAAACACCCCTATAAGGTACATGCATGGGCAGGTATAAGTTGCCAAGGAAAGACGCCAATTGTGCTGTTTGAAGAAAAAATGAATTCAGCTGGCTTTATTGAAGTTTTGGAAAATGGACTGATTCCTTATACCCAGCATTTAAATCCATCTCAAAGATTGATGCAGGATAATGATCCCAAACATTCCTCAAAGAAAGTAAAGGAGTGGTTAGAAGCCAACAAAATAAACTGGTGGAAAACACCACCAGAATCCCCAGATCTTAATCCGATTGAAAATCTATGGCACGAGCTCAAAGAATGTCAGAAGAGTAGTGCAACCACAACAAAAGGAGGAATTAGTCAAAGGAATCATGGATTGTTGGGAAACTGTAAATAGAAGAAAGTGTAGTAAATATATCGGACACGTACGTAAAGTAATATCAAAAAGTGATTGAATGCAATAATGGAGGTCCCACTGGATAGAAGAAAGTGTAGAAAATATATCGGACACTTACGTAAAGTAATATCGAAAGTGATTGAATGCAATAATGGAGGTCCCACTGGATATTAATATTTGTACATGTACACAGTAGCTCTTTCGATCTTCCTCTTTCCTTATAAATGTAACATCACATACATGTAATCTATGCTAACAGACTTGTACATTACAGATTGCATGCACTTATAACTCTCTTCTATACCCCTCCCAATCCTTCTCCCTCCCACAGGTATTATAATAATTTAAAGCAAAGTATATCTTTTATTCATTGTATATCTTTTGCATCTTTATATCATTATATCTAATATATAATATATATACATGTATATCAACAGTGTCACTGTGTTAGACTATTTATTATCTTATATGATACTATACTCAGTGTAGCCTTCTACTCTAGATTCTTAATATCAGGTGGATATTTGCTTCTAAGCCCTGAAGAGTAATGATTTATTGCTTGAATACACTTAGACCAATACAGCTAAAATTCCTTCTTTGTACTAATATCACGTGGATGGAATAATCCCAGTAGCTTCTGCTTCAGCTCCATTAGAGCACCAGATGGCAAAGGAGGGTTCTCCTTCTGCCTATACACACTACGTTTAATCAAAAGTGATGGTCCAAAGTAAACTTTGCTAGCTAGTCTTACAGATGATTGTCCAACTTGAGAGAGTGTCTTCAGTTTGGGATATTTATTAATCACAGTATCAGGATTCAACAAAGGAGCATTAAAATCTATTTTCCTTCTATTACCAGTGTGCACAGTAGTATTGGTGATGATTGCCTTTACTGGCTCATTAGTTGGAGTTACTGGATCAGTATGCTGAGGTAGATTGCAAGCAGATGGGGCACTAGAAGTACTTCCATTACTGTTCATGTATGTAGCAGAGTACCTGCCTAGAATATTAATAGGATATTACTAATCTCTAATAATTATTACTGAATACTAACCCTTGTGTTCATGCCGGGCTAGTATTTCCAAAGAAATGGTATGTTAAGCAACCCAATTGGAATGGCACCATGATACTCTGTTCTTCTAAAATTTCCATTCTTCTAATTAGAGACAGTATATTACCTCTAAACAAAACAACATTAATTGTTTGTGATAATCAAGTAATATGTTATTAATGTTACTAAATTTGTACAGGTACTTGTAAAACAATTCACCTGTTTCTGTACTACATGCAGCTTGAGTTTTAAGCTCCACCAGTGCAAGTGGTGGTGGAAGTGGTGGAGGGCTATGACAAAGAATTCTTTCACTGGAATCTGCCTCTTTTCTCTCTGAAGGTTTTCTTGCTTCTAATAATAACAAGTAAAACAATAGTAATAATTATTATTATATTTAATCTTACCGATACTAATATGCTTAGAAGGATCTCCAGTGTTGAAGCTTGTTGCTTCATTATTTGCAGCAGATTCATTATTTGTAGCACAACCAACAGCAACAATATTAACTGTGCATTTCTGTTTTGTGTTTTTATAATAAATTACCTTTTTAATGCATTATGTACCTTCACCTTCCTTTCCTTTTTCTATTTTAGGTTTCTTTATTCGGTGGTACCTACATGTAGATGTGAATTTACATGTAGGGTTAGTAATACTATATACCATCTCACTTTTCTAAGCTTTCCTTTTCATTGTGCCACGCTTTGTAGTCTGACTCATTCTTCATACTCTCAGCTGACTGTTTCTCCATATTCTTGGCTGACTCTTTCTCCAAATTCTCCGCTGACTCTTTCTCAATCTTAATAATATCACCTGCTGCATTACTTACATCTTTCTTATCTCCTAGAAAATTATATGTGCAGCTATTGACTAAAAATTAAAGTACAGTGTTACCAAAGGTGACTATTGTGCCATCATGAAAGTCCTTTCCATCCCTTACTCTGCAGGAGGTACCAGCTTCCAGCTGCTCAACTTCTACACAGTTTGCTTTCACAATAGAATAAGTATCGTCTTGCTTAAAGTATTTCAAAAAGTAAGAAGCTACATTTAAAATAGTAACAAGACTCCTAAACATGTCTTTAACTTACGATTTGTCTTCTTCTGGGTGTCTTTTATCAGCTTTCTAAGACTCATTTCTACTCGTTTCCACTGAGTTGTAACCGGGCTGGTGAAAATTAATGCGCATGCGCAGTATTGAGTAGCGCATGCGCAGCACATCAGTAGAGTAGAGTAGCACAGGAGTAAAGAAAGCAAAGCTGCTCGTTACTACTACCGTTTTGATTCGCATGAGCTGTGTAGGAAGAAAAGTGCAGTTCGTAGGAACTACTCTTCGCTACTTAGCTTTTTTTCTCTCTAAACTGTACCTACGCAACAGTAGAGTAGCTACTTATCTTTTTTCGCCCTGTACTGTATATAAATGAAAGCCTATTAGGGGCTCTCTCACATGCAGGATCATTGCCATATAACACTGCATTAGGATTAAATTTAAAACTGCACAGAATACATGTATGTATGTAGACAGAAATGATAAGAAGAAATGTAAAGACGAATACATTTTTGTAAAAAATGTCATAACTATTTACAAAAAATAAAACAGTTAAGTTGACTCAATACATTTAACCTTATGTTTCAGTTCTTTGTTAATGGGAATGTTTAACGTTTCTAACACTTAAAGAACAGTGGTTATGTAATCAAATATGAGACAGAATTGCAAATACATTATTTTAATAGCCATCAAGTCTCTGATATCAACAAAAAGCTGTTTCTGAACGAAAAGACATCACCAGTTCATCAGGTGAATTTTTTAAAATCTACTGGCAGATTAAATTTACCAAAAACTACAGTATTTTCTTTGTAACTTTCTTCCCTCACTAGACGGCAAAAAGGCAACCACATAAGGTATAGTTCCTTAATTTTGATGCAATGCTCAAAATTTAAGATACAATATGAATTACAAAACTAACTTTAACTGAGGTTTTAAAATGACATGCATGAATAATCTATTGTTCCCATGGTACATGGATGCATAAGAAAGTATACCAAAACTGCCAGAGTACAGCTACTGCATACCAGAATATAATTCATTCAAAATGTGCAATTAGAAATTAAATGAATAGTGCCTGAGGTTAGCTAAAGTGACAGATATTTTTGGCAAAATCATTGAAATTACTGATATAAAGATCCAGACTAGGGGTCAATGACAAAAGCTCAATTATATTTACGCATTCAATTACGCTCCTTTTGCAAAAAAAGGCTCAATTACAATTACAGTTACACCATGACAGTGTAATTTCAATTACATTTTCAATTACAATTACAACTTGATGTCAAAAAGATACATTGCAATGCTTACACTGTGGCTTAGAATTTACATCAGGTAGTGATTTGCAGTTATCAAATAAACCAATAGACACTAGTGTACATTAAAAACATATCTTTGTGTATCTGTACATTCTGTAAATGAAATGTAACTGAAACTTCAATTACGTAAGCTGAAGCTCAATTACAATTACACAACTGTAATTGTAATTGACCATTAAATTATAATTACAACTGTAATTGACCCCAGGTCTGAAAAGATCACATTACAGTAGTTCTTTAAAACTATGGTGATTATCACTAAGTAGCCATTTTTACATCCTAATATTCATTCCAAAATTAATCTACAAATATAAATAGCCAGCCATTAGAAGGACAAAACCCTGTCCACTCCTTGTACAAATACATTGTACTTCTTTTATACACTGGATGATTCTTAATTACACTGGATCAATCACTTTTGAAGTTTTTTTGCACACTTCAAGAAAAATTTTATTAACAATACTCAAAATCTCTAAAAGTAGGAAATCTCTAAAAGTAAAGTAGGACCATTATGTAGGAAGGAAATAGTGCATTTGAACACTATTTTTAAAATGATGGCGGTAAAATCATGGTGGTATCAAAAGTAAACTTAATCATGGTGGTATCAAAAGTCAGACACTCCTTAAAACATTATCTATTAGGCAGGAGATTGCCCAAATAGGCACAACAGAAGTAACTAGTTTTGAGTCAAAATGCATGCAATTTCTTCTTAATTAATGTACTTTAAATGTATTTTAAATAGGTACTCACTAAAAATTATTGAAGAAGAACTTACATGCACAACAGGCAATGGTACATCGACTCTAGAAACAGTGACACAGGAATCACAATCTTTTAATTTCTTTTCTCTTCTCTAACAAAGGAAAGAAATAATAAAATAGCAAAGATAAGTTTCTCAACAACTGCAACACTTTTGGCTAAAAATAAACCATTACAGATTGCACTAGAGACCTTTGCATAACAAACAGGGTGCTTATATAAGATATCATTAAATAAAAGAAATCCATGATTATAGAGGGTAAAAAATAGTGCTATTTCTTTCCTACATAATGGTGTGACTAGGCACATTATACACATTATACAATTTGACCTATCTATATAGGCAGAAATTAGTGCCAAGCACTATTTTGTCCCCAAAATACTATAAGGAAGAATTAGTGCCTGGCTGCCTGCTGCACTATTTTGTCCCTACAATACTATAGGGAAGAATCAGTGCATTCTGCACTATTTTGTCCTACAATATAGAATTAGTATGTTGTGCAATTTTTTGTCACAATTAAAGTATATGGGGGCAAAATAGTGCAGCAGGCACTAATTTGTCCTTATATTACTTTAGGGAAGAATCAGTGCTTGCTGCACTTTTTTGTCCCTACAATATTACAGGTAAGAATTAGTGACAGCTGCACTATTTTACCCCTATTTAATTTGGGGGAATTTATTTCTAAAACAAAATACATGATATTCACATAATTATACATTTGCCAAGGCCATATCTATAAAGATAAGTTTGATTTGATAGAGGGAGATGTGTGTGTTTAAGATAATTTTAATGGAATGATGATGCTTTTGAAATTACTGAGATTATTTATCATTCAATTTGTGAAGAACCTAAATAACTCCGTTTTTTATGGTCTACATGTGTACTACCATAATTATAGTATCACTATCATTGAAAAATAAGTAACTGATTTTAAATTTTACTTTTTGTTAATTTAAAGACTTTAATATATGTCATGCATTGTATATTATTTGTACTAAAACAAAAGGCACTCATGTCTTTAAAAAGTGCTAAACAGATAATGAAATGGTGTGAAGTGACATTACAATAGTCAAAGGAAGGGATAGTTTTGTGGGTAGAAAAGGAACATGGAGATATGTCTTTGCTACAGGAGAATGATTCTACAATGTTGATACTTTACCATCTTTTTCTATTCAAGATACAATCCTTAATAAATGCTAGGAAGAATTTGACAACTGCAGTGACAATTGTGAAGACCGTAAACTGCCAAATTGTGTGAAGTGTTCATCATTGAGACATAAAAATGTTAACAGAAGTGGCCACAATATAAAACCTTTTAACAATAAAGCCATAGATAGCTGCTTTGAAGGTATATATAATTATTGAATTTTGTGATTTTTAAAATGAAACTTTTGTTTAGAACTCAACCCAAGTTTTGATCACACTCATTTAGTTATTCAAAGCCTAGTAGCAAAACATTTAATGCTCTCAAGTATTCATAAATGGCAGATGAATGCAATTAAAAACGCTATCGAAGGGAAAGACAGCTTATAGTTCAACCAACTGGCACAGGAAAATTAATGTGCTATGTTATTCCACCATTACTTACTGGAAAGTTGGCCATTGTTATTTCATCGACAATATGTCTCATGTGTGATCAAGTATGTAGCATGGTGTTTCTGCTACGTTCCTCGGTTCTGCTCAAAAGCACAACATATTGAATAACCTGTAAAAATATACTCTTGTTTAGAATCTTTCTATGACAAGCAACAGCAACCATGACAAATTTTTCTATCAATGACCAGAAACAAAGAAATATGTCTCATTGCAGTGGATGAAGCTCATCCCATAATTTGTTGCAAATCATTCAGGTATGCTACACAGTCAACTCATTAGCTATTACCCTATAGCTGGTTTATTTCATGTGGAAATAATTTTGCGTAGGCCCATATCACCAAATAAGGATTAGCAAAATTTCAATTAGAGGCCATGATATAACAAGCATTACTACACACTCACACACACTTAAATATACACACTAGTAATTACCATATACTATATGGGCACAAAAATGCCTCTGTAAGATCTTGAAAGTGCTTCTTGCAAAAAAGCTGCCAAAATCTTTCTGTCCAAAAATCATCCATACAATAATTATATGGCTACAAAAAGTTGAAGTTTCTAATTTTAACTTATTGTTTTATTAGAACTGAATATAGACTGCTTTTGCATCTAAAGTCTCATTTTCCTTGTATATCATTAATGGCATTAACAGCAACTGCCACTTCAAAAGTTAAGGAAAAGATTGTCCACGATGATAGAACCAATACTCAAAACTTCAATGGTAAACAAGAGAAATATTTCACTCCATGATGAAGAGTTAAAGAAATTGACATTTTATATTATGCTATGTCATTTCAACCGGTACTACAGACTACTACACATCTATTGCTGACTATCTTGCTGAAGTAGTTGGTAACAATCGCTCCATTGTGTATATACTAACTTTGTTAAAGATGTTGCAGCTTTGGCAATTGCTTTAAAAGGAAAAGGAATAAATAGTAGTAGCTATCATGGCCAAAATTTATCTAGCCATGACAAATTGTAGATAATTGAGGATCAGTGTTTTGATACTCTGACACACAAGCAAGTGTATCAAGCATTAATTCTGTGTATGATAACAAATTTATGTATATTTATAGCTAATGGTGTGCACTTCTGCACCTGGAATGGGTATAGATGTTCCTAATATAGACTTGGTTGTTAAACTTGGTTGCTCACATGCAGCACATTTGACGAATTAGTCAAACAGTTTGGAAGGGCTGGAAGACATGGCAGAAAGGCAAAGGGTATTGAATGCTATGAAATTTATGTGATGCAACATAATTTTGGTACAGGTCTTTTTTTTGTGAAGATAACCTCTAGCATGCTTTATTTTGGGGTAAAGATACATTGTGTAAGTCATATGATGAGAAAAAACTGCAGTTATCAAAATTTCAAGATGTTTGTAGGTACATGTATATCATTTTTATTAATGTGTGCCATCAATTTTATGCTATACCCATATACAGGTATGCTTTTGCTCATCATCATTGACGAGATACCTGCTAGTCCTGTAAACTACTGGATAAAAGAATTAAATCTTCAGGAAAATGATTGTTTACAGCTAGAAGGAACCCATCACCTTTCAGACAAGCATGTCATAGCTACTGCTAAACTACTGTCAAAACAATTCCCAGACATGCCAATGATTCAGTCGTGTTTGTATACTCAGAAACTAAGTCTCATTCAGCTGGCTACAAATGATTCATTATTTTTCCACAACTTTGGAGACCATTGGGTTACTAGTCATTTTATGGATGGCATTGCTTTTCTTTATGACTCCTTCTACACAGAGATCATTCACTCAGAGTTAAAGAAGCAGCTCATTGCCCTCTATGGATCTGCTATGGTAAAAGTACCGTGGTTGGTGAAGCAAAAGGTGATAAGGAATGTGCCTGCTTTGCAGTAGCATACGCAGTATCTATTCTTTATGGAAATGATCCTGCTAACAATATATTCGATCAGTCACACATGAGACAACACATGATTGAATGTCTCAAAAACATATTTTACATGCCATTCCCATCTATGACATGAAAATCATGATGCAATGTATCAGAATGTGTTACCCAACTACATTGATTATTACAAACAAGTTAACAAATGTATGTTATTTAATGTTCAAAGTTGTTATATTGGTCTATGTAGCTAATTATACTTGCAAAATGCATGGTGGAATGCTAAAGGTGACCAGATAAATGTTGCGTAGCTATCCCATATTGCAGGAAATTTTGGAAGGAGTTAAATTCGGCAAATTACTATTATTTTGGTAATTGGCAAATTTTAATATGGCAAATTTGTGGTCACATACCATTGAGCATGCATATAATGGCTTGAAATGGTGGATTCTATTTTGGAGTTTTGCTATCAAAATGCCAAGTTCACCAACTTCAATTCCCTCCAAAATTTTCCACTACAGTATATGAGGGAAACAAAGTGCTGTTACATTATGAAAAAAAGTGCAGAGGGCACAAATTCTTCCCCATAGTATTATAGAGACAAAATAGTGCAGCAACCATTAATTCTTCCCTTAAGTATTGTAGGAACAAAATAGTGCAGCAGGCACTAATTCTTCCCTATAGTATTGTAGGGACAAAATAGTGCTTGGTACTAATTTCTGCCTACATAGATAGGTCAAATTGTATATGTGTATAATAGTGCCTAGTGACACCATTATGTAGGAAGGAAATAGTGCATTTGAACACTATTTCCTCCCTCTATAATCATGGTTTATTAATTTAATGACATACTCTACGGATCGTAAAAAACAGACATACCCCAAGTTACACAAAAGCTTCAAAAACATTTGCAAAACAGCTGATGGCAATTATTTTTTCATAGATATACAAGTATAAAACAACCAAATACTTAGCTGTAGCAACAAGTGAAGTGGTGCTACAAGTTACAAAAAGTCTATCCATTCAGGAGTCATGCAATAAGTAAAATAGCTGTTTGGCTTGCTATTAATAGTACTACTTCATCTCATAACAAGACTTTTCCTTTAATTCCACTTAAGATGATTGACAATGAGCCACAACTCTCGTTATTGCCCTCACCCACGCCATAGGCGTATAGGAAACTGTACTGCTCTCCTTAATTACATTTACTTCCCCTGCAACTCTTCTATAGATCATTCCCATCCACTAGCTATGCTTAACTAACACACAGAGTTACATGAAATCATACCTTTTCCCAACTTTTCTTTCCCAAATGATGAAATCTTTCTTTTCTTAGGGTCCTCCTGTCGACTTTTCTTGTCTTAGCTCGTGTCTTTGGCATCTTCTATAGATACATCATACATCTTTGTTAGAAACATTCAATTTTACCTCAATTATTAAACAAGGTCCAACAAAAGTAACTTGGATAAAACAGCAATACACAGTTAAAGTGAACAGTCAACAGTCTTATAGCCGCACCTACTCAAATTAATTGCATTATAAATAGATCTACTACATACACACATGCATAAGAAACAGGAAGTGATATTGATGTGCCATATGCTCTTGACGCCAGATATGACTCATAGAGCATAATAATGAATAATCTACACACATGAATAAGCATGGACATTAGCAAAGAAGACTGACAGTGAGGAGTTTCACTTGATTTAGAGCCAAGTTCTCAGTTGGATGAGCTCCAGTTGAATACTTCTACCACCAAGTAGGTCAAATCACACATTTATTTTGTGATGAAGTCAAAAATGGATGAAACAGAAGCTCTAGAGACTATTGTTTATTACATCAAACATAAGATATTATTTTATATGCCTATAATAGTAATTTTAGTCATAATTTAGGTTCAACAGATGCTTTTTGCCATCTATATTTACAAAGTTTCATCAACACCTTCACTCTTTCAGAACACAATTCATCGTGTGCAAAGTTGGCGTATTCCCATCCTGTTGCTCACTTAATCATGTGAGACTAAATTATCATAAACTTTAATTCATAACAAAGTAATCATATTCATGGAGACTGTAATAATATTCATTAATGCAATATTATATTTATAGCAAAACATTAATGCTGTCACTTGCTCGTAAAAGCTACAATAAATAGAATTATCAATAAAAACAAAACTGCATTTAGTAATGGAAAAATAGCAGTGCTATCTGGTAGAATCAATAATGGCAAGTTTCCTACTCGCTTATTTGTTGAAATCCATGCTTCATTTAAGCTGCCATACACCAGGAAAACGAGAACATCAACTTCCATTGCAACCGAGTCTGGAATGAAAGAAGGGAGATAAAATTACCTAATTACTAGAACAAGTAAGTTCCTAAAGAATCAAAAGCTATGCACAAATATTTAAAAAATATTTGAAGTTCAATGCATAATTGATAAACAGTGCATGGTAAAAATTTAAAAGCAGCACAAGTCGTACAACTTTTTATTTCCTTTAAAGTTTCAGTATTTATAATTTAAGCCAATAGGTAATTTTCTGATCTCTGGATGAAATGAAATCATGCCGTCTCTGTTGCATTAGTAAAATAATAATTTAAAAGTAATAATTTAATATAAAAGAAAATAACACACAGCAATAATAAAAGGTTATGTGTTCTCTCTGTCTTTAATCTCACTCTAATCATACAGAGGAACATAAATAGGGAAATTATAATATTGACCTTACTTGAATGAAAGACTTGATGTCAGTAGTGTAAATCCTAGCCTTGAGTAAGACTGAAACACTAAAGAGATAGAGAGGAGTGAATTGTAATGGTCAAACAACATTAGTAACTGTATGTAATGGCTGATGTAGCTACTTCAGTGACATATACATGTATGTAGGCCTGGGACATAAATTTTTTATATGAATGTGAATGCAATAATTAAGTAATCAACTACATCACTGGTGCATACACAATAGGGATTAACAGTGAAGTGTCTTTATGACATTAAATTAGGTGGACAGGAAGCTCAGAAGACATAGACAGAATAAGTGATGAGAAAGAATGAAATTTAATGATACAATGGAATGGACATCACATAGGGCAAAAGAGATGAATTGAAAAAAGGCACAGGTGGAGTGAAAAGTGAGAGATACTTTTAGCAAAAGAGAGGGAGACTATAAGTGGGAGAGAGAGAGTCATGGGGAGAGGAATACCCATGTACATTTAGAAAGGACCATAGAGAGGAAGAAACATACACATAGGATAGAAACATACAGGAGCAAAGATGAGAAAGATGCAGAGAGAAGGGACATGTACATGTACAATAGTAATGCCATTAAGAAAGGAATGATAGTGAAGAAGAGAGGAGAGTGTACGAGTACACAAAACATTGTGTTCCTTTAAGGGAAGAAATTAAGCATTTAAGGCCTGTCGAAATTACCACTGAAATACTGTCTGTACACTTACACGCCACCTACCAACATCACTGATTCAGCCAATGCAACACAGCATTTATAAACTATAAACTCTCTAGATCCTTATTGAATGCCCAGTTTGTTATAGTTCATTGTAGTAAGAGAGACAGAAAGAGAAGGTAATTTTAATTATAGAGTGATGTTGACCTTTAAACACTTTAATGTTCTAATTGGACATTTTCAAGCTCTCTTCATTCTTTTCTCTTACACATTTTTGTTAAGTATTGGCGACATTCTCCTACACAATAGATAATACATCACCAGAAAGACGCCCCATTCTTACTCACTCTCTCGCCTTTAATGTACATACATGTACATGCAAAGTAGTGTGTACTGTGTCTTGATACATAAAAAAACTAATAGCAATGTTTGTGCATACATTAATGTACACATGCATAATATGTAGGTACATGTACATGTATTTTACAGTTAATTACTTGAGTTAGTATGAGGAGAGAAACACAAAGAGGGACATCAGGAGAAGAAGATAGATCAATGAACACCAAACTCTTTGAGAAGAGTACCTATATTAACAGAGAATAACTGTGTTATAAACCTATAGCAACATTACAACATGTTAGTTTTTGGTAATAATTGTTATAAAACAAAAATACTTACACTAAATGATGAATCATACGCACACAGTGGAACAGCCTTAAGCCTGAGATTAAACATGTATAGAAAATTCAGTCACAAATTAAGACATCAGAATGACATAATCAATCAATCAAATTGTTATTTATAAAACATATACAGTAAAATATAGGCAGTAGTACTGACAAAACCCATATATATCATCATGCAATTGCAAAATTATACAACTAAAGTGCAATCTACCTACATGTACCTATAAGAATGAGCTGCCCTAATTCATTGAGGTCGAACGACTACAGAAGGAATACAAGGTTTACCTGTATCAGCCATATTTGATGACTTAACTCATGTTGGTGAGGCTCTAGCTATAGTGATAAGATTTGTGGATACAAGTACATGAATGCAATTGACTAGTCAAACCTGTTATCAATGAGTAATTGCTTGTGTAATAAGTTTAAATTACCATTACAATTCAATCCCTCTTTTAGTCCTTTCTGTTTCTCTATCTCTTTAGTGTTTCCATATCTTGATATCCCAAGCTAGCCTAGGAGTTCATTCAAGCAAGGTCATGTCCATATTTCCCTCTTATGTTTTAGTGAAAAGACATCAAGATCACATTACAAACGGTGTTCTTTTTGATAATTTTTATAAATTGTCTTACTAATACAGCAAATGACCTGCAATATACAGTAGTATTTTTATAATGCAAACAGAATTATAGTCCATATGAACTGATGCCAAATCATTCTACACATCTAGCGATGCCATGCAGCAACAGAAATGTCAAAAGTTGTCTATAGGCAAAGTCATTTTGATCCAGAAATGAGAATTTCTACCTGTTGGCTCAATACAAAAATTGGATTATAATAATTTTTAAAAGTAAGATGGAGAGTGTTGTTTGATATCAATAGGTATGTAGACATGCAAAATTGCTTGTTATAAAAATTAAAGTACTAAATTAAGTTGAACCACTGCAGAGATATTCAGGTAAATGAGCTGCATACATAATAAAGGGGTGGGGCTGAAGGTTTTTAGCTGAAAACTCCAAGGTCTTACATCACAAGTCCCAAAAACTGCAATAATGTAAAATTAGCTAGTGCTACAGCAAGGTTGAAGGGTTATTGCAACCAAGTATAATATTTTGACTTTTTGACTAAAACTTTGTTTCAGAGGCCAGTTATTGATTTACAGGGCTTGAAAAGTATATCAGCTACTTTGAGACAAATTTTCCAGACCGTTGCCTTTAACTTTCAATCTTGCTGTAGCACAAGCTAATTAAACACATCATTGAAGTTTTTGAGACTTGTGATGTAAAACCTTGGCTAAAAACCATCAGGCTCACCCCCACATTATGTATGCAGAAAGTATATTTAGCTGATTATCTCTGTAGTTCTTCA